GGCTGGAAGCCAGAAGAAAAAACACCGTGTGTCCTGAGCAGGCTTCCGTCAGGAGCCGAGCCACCCCAGGAAAACGGGTGCCGGTACACACGGGGGAAATCCCATTCCCTTTCTGTGGACGGGAAACTAGGTGACGGCACGCCATTCTGGGCAGTACCGTCACACAGAACACACTGGAACAGCTGATAGGAGACTCGATCGATAAAGGGTTAATGGAGGGTAACATAAGTAGTGCCAATTGGCATGGATCTACAGAAAATCGATCCTGTCGAGAACTTGATACCGTTTTTGACGAGATTACGAGTTTGGCTGGTAGAACCATCGCGTTGATGTCACGTGTTTGGATTTCAGTAAGTCATTTGACTTGCTCCTGCCTGACATTTTGATTACAGACTTGGACCAATACAAAATTAACACGGCACACGTGAGATGAATTAAAAACTGGCCACTTGACAGGTCTCAGAATGTCTCGGTAACTAGGGAATTCTCGGGGTGGGTGTATTTCTACGAGGCTCCTGCAGAGGTCAGTTTTGTCCACTGCCGCGCACAGCCTGCCAGATCCCACAGCCGGGACAGTCACAATAAAGGGCCCAGGAAAGTGACACTCCTTTGACTATCTGTTGTTTCTTTGAAATGCAGCTACTCCAACCTGCTCTTCATGGCCACCCAGATCGCCTCCGGCATGAAGTATTTAGCCTCCCTCAACTTTGTGCACCGAGACCTGGCCACCCGCAACTGCCTGGTTGGGAACAGCTACACCATCAAGATTGCGGATTTTGGGATGAGCAGGAATCTGTACAGTGGGGATTATTACCGGATCCAGGGCCGGGCGGTGCTGCCGATACGCTGGATGGCCTGGGAGAGCATCCTCCTGGTAGGGCTTTCCCTCTCCTCTCTGTCTCAGCCCAGTACGTGCCTCTCTTCTCTGCTACTTGTCTCCTGGGCAGCCGGCAGTACCCCCTGCGGTAACCACATGCACCCTGTGAGCTACACATCCCAGACGCAACAGGCGCTAACTGCACACCTCCGCATTCCGAACCCCCTTCCACTTTTGGGCAGCTGGACCTCATTGTGACCTCAGGGTCTGTTCCCTGTCTCGCGCCAGGCCTCATTCTGCCTCCCAGCGCGTACATTGCGTTATAAAGCTTGCAGTATACTCAAGTAGGAAAAAGTGACTACTATTCATGTGCCCTATGGGTAAGAACTTACCTTTCCACTTTTCAAAGACTTTTTTTATAGTAACCATTGTTTAGTAACTTGTGCTCATGCCAAAATAACTATCTAGTGAACACTTACTGGATGTAAAGCTGGAGTGGTCTCTTCAGTGGTTACCTGTCTCTCCCCGCCTGTGTCTGGTTTGGCTGTGCGCTGGAGTGGTCTCTTCAGTGGTTACCTGTCTCTCCCCGCCTGTGTCTGGTTTGGCTGTGCACTGGAGTGGTCTCTTCAGTGGTTACCTGTCTCTCCCCGCCTGTGTCTGGTTTGGCTGTGCGCTGGAGTGGTCTCTTCAGTGGTTACCTGTCTCTCCCCGCCTGTGTCTGGTTTGGCTGTGCACTGGAGTGGTCTCTTCAGTGGTTACCTGTCTCTCCCCGCCTGTGTCTGGTTTGGCTGTGCGCTGGAGTGGTCTCTTCAGTGGTTACCTGTCTCTCCCCGCCTGTGTCTGGTTTGGCTGTGCACTGGAGTGGTCTCTTCAGTGGTTACCTGTCTCTCCCCGCCTGTGTCTGGTTTGGCTGTGCGCTGGAGTGGTCTCTTCAGTGGTTACCTGTCTCTCCCCGCCTGTGTCTGGTTTGGCTGTGCACTGGAGTGGTCTCTTCAGTGGTTACCTGTCTCTCCCCGCCTGTGTCTGGTTTGGCTGTGCGCTGGAGTGGTCTCTTCAGTGGTTACCTGTCTCTCCCCGCCTGTGTCTGGTTTGGCTGTGCACTGGAGTGGTCTCTTCAGTGGTTACCTGTCTCTCCCCGCCTGTGTCTGGTTTGGCTGTGCGCTGGAGTGGTCTCTTCAGTGGTTACCTGTCTCTCCCCGCCTGTGTCTGGTTTGGCTGTGCACTGGAGTGGTCTCTTCAGTGGTTACCTGTCTCTCCCCGCCTGTGTCTGGTTTGGCTGTGCGCTGGAGTGGTCTCTCCAGTGGTTACCTGTGTCTGGTTTGGCTGTGCGCTGGAGTGGTCTCTCCAGTGGTTACCTGTGTCTGGTTTGGCTGTGCGCTGGAGTGGTCTCTCCAGTGGTTACCTGTGTCTGGTTTGGCTGTGCGCTGGAGTGGTCTCTCCAGTGGTTACCTGTGTCTGGTTTGGCTGTGCGCTGGAGTGGTCTCTCCAGTGGTTACCTGTGTCTGGTTTGGCTGTGCGCTGGAGTGGTCTCTCCAGTGGTTACCTGTGTCTGGTTTGGCTGTGCGCTGGAGTGGTCTCTCCAGTGGTTACCTGTGTCTGGTTTGGCTGTGCGCTGGAGTGGTCTCTTCAGTGGTTACCTGTCTCTCCCCGCCTGTGTCTGGTTTGGCTGTGCGCTGGAGTGGTCTCTCCAGTGGTTACCTGTGTCTGGTTTGGCTGTGCGCTGGAGTGGTCTCTTCAGTGGTTACCTGTCTCTCCCCGCCTGTGTCTGGTTTGGCTGTGCGCTGGAGTGGTCTCTCCAGTGGTTACCTGTGTCTGGTTTGGCTGTGCGCTGGAGTGGTCTCTTCAGTGGTTACCTGTCTCTCCCCGCCTGTGTCTGGTTTGGCTGTGCGCTGGAGTGGTCTCTCCAGTGGTTACCTGTGTCTGGTTTGGCTGTGCGCTGGAGGTTCTTTCCTGTTATTTCTCTGTCCTCCACGAGCTTTCCAGCACCAAACAATGTCGTGTCTGTGAACCTTGCGGCTTGATCCCCTCTTGCAGGTGGGGCCTGTCAGCGTCGCACAGAACTCCTCCACATGGCCCGTTTTCTCTCTGTGGTGCCTCATCAGCATCCAGGGTGACCCAGGTTCTTGGCAAGCCCCCCC